TATATATGAGTAGCTGCATCCCAGAACGATGACAAAAGATCCCACCAGTTCTATGGCTAGAGGCCACTTCCTACTTTCTTAATCAACAGTTAACAAAATAAGCCACATTGAGCATAGTCGAAAAGCGTCCCAAATGTGATCCTCATCTCACAGTGTCGTTCCACGCACTCAGCTCAGTGGCTGGACGACGAAAACCGCATCATTTCAGTCTTTACACATAGAAAAATGCAACAGCCAGCTAACATTAAAAGTAAACACTTGCCACAACTAAACACAGTAAGCAAGCCTATCCGTCATGTTGACCGCTAGCCAGTCAGATTGTTTTAGCTTAGTTGTTATGGTGTTCTCTCCAACTAGATGACAAAACCATTTGATATTCTTTTTCTTAGTCTTTCTTTTTATCAGCGTTCAAAGGCTCTAAGCTCTGACAGAAAGTTCTGGTGTTTCGTCCACTTCTGGACATCAGTTTTATCCGCATTAGTTTTGTCCGCATTTATTCCCATACCTTACATGGTAGACGTTTCATTTATCAAGTAGGTTGATTCATTAATCTTTATGCGACTTCCGGTTACAATAAGGGATATGACAGTTTACTGTTTTTAATCGTAGAAAGTTTTTGCTTCCAGCAATATATGGCTGAATCATTTTCCTCCATATATAGGCTGAAAATATACAGTTCCATTGCCCAGCCATTGAGCTGAGGGCATAGCACGACACTGCGACCTGTTAATTCTACTTGGAATGTTCTTTGCCTGTGACTAACCTGATTTTTGCTATGAACTGCAGATTCAGAAAATTGCGAGTAGCCTGTTGCCAGGGAATTAATTCGTGATGCCTTATGAGGTTTTTTGCGTGTGCTGTTGCCGATCTATTATAGCTGCTGCTGCCATCGGTGATGGACTACATTTCTAGTGGAGGACTGTGCTACCATTTCTGACGGCTGCCTTATGCATCTGATGCTTGCGTAAGCTGTTGGATTTGCCGATACTGGATTTTGTTTAAGTTTTTCCACAGGGACACTGTTAGACATTATGTATGGTTTCCGTAGGCACGGGAAAGGGACAGCTTTGAGGTGACCTGTTTGCTATGTGCTTGAAGCTTCTTCTTCTTCTCTTCCACCTTTTACCTCATCGAAGAGTCGGAGGTGTAACGTTCGTAAATGAGCTCTGTCAAGAGCACTATTAAGACTGATGTTAATTTCTGTAAGGCTGTTCTCAATGCCACATTACTCTGTCTTTTCCGAGGCCTTCCACTCGATCTTTACCCTTTATAACGATTCAGTACGGCTCACTGTGGCAGATAGTATAAGGGTATTCTTATTTGGTGTCCAAACCACTTCATTTGTTGTTCTTTGATGACCTGTAAGACAGGCTTTATTCCTAGCATTCGTCTGATTTCGTGCTTTCGTATTCTGTCTTTCCTTAAAACTCCAGCAGCTCATCTAAAGCATTTCATTTCTGTTGTCACAATTTTACGCTCATTGGAGGATCAAAATGTCCACGTTTGGTCATGTCACGGGTAATCTTCGTGTTGTGGTTTACAGCTAGGCTGCGACATCTGACCTGAAACTCTTCAGTCTTCGGTAGTGTAGTTTTAAGTATTCCATCCTTCACGCGGGTGACCGGTGTTCGATTCCCCGCTGGGTGATAATTGTTTTTTTCCCTTAAAAGGGTGGTTGCCACGTTGTGTTGTGGGTTACAGCTAGGCTGCGATATCTGCGCCTTTCGCCCAAAGACATCCGATTTCAGTTAAGTCACAATTAGCCTCCCCGTGACGTTTCTCGATCAAAAACTTTTCGGCGATGACAGAAACTGTTACCTAAGACGGCTTACAGTCCAGTTTAGTTTGGGTGGACACGGATGACAAGGTCAGTTGAAAATCGTTCCTTCGGAGAGGGAGAGATGACGGGTGCGGGGTATTTTTCTCCGCTATTCGTGAGTATAGTGTACTTTTTACTGTGGGTTCCATCACTGGTTACGTGAGGAGGTTTTTTTTTTTTTTTCTATGTCGGGGGCAACATGAATCTAAATAGTCCGTAGCGACAGCATGCGGCGCTAACTCCTCTTTTCTACACCAGCCTACCCAGACTGTAGTGACAGTTGTTGTTGTTGTTGTTGTGATGGTGGTGGTAGTGGTTGCAGTAGTACTGGTACTGGATGGGGGATGTGGTAGCTGTTACACTGGCCACATTTACTTCTCAATACAAGTTAATGCTACCTATTTAAGTCTGGGTGGACACCGATACCAAGCTCAATTTAGTTACAATATTTCGTCATATGGTGACTTTTCCATCCTTCGGAGAGGATGATCTGATTGGGGGAAAAAAAGGGGGGGGGGTTATGCCACAGTTAGCTGAGAGAGCTTAAAATATTATTTTACATTTCTCATTTCTTAACTATTTCTATTTTAATCATTTCGCAAGGTGATAATTTTTCAATTCCTCGGAGAAAGAGAAATGATTGGTGGAGGGGAGGGGGCATGGGGAGGGGTGGGTTTATGCCAAACACAGTTAGCTGAGAGAGCTTAAAATATTATTTTAAAGTTCTCATTTCTTAACTATTTCTATTTTTAATAGTTTCGCTAGGTGATGATTTGTCCATCCTTCGGAGAAGGAGATATGACTTCACCAGGTGATGATTTTTCAATCCTACGGAGAGAGGTATTATTGGTGGAGGAGAGTGGGATTATGCCAGACACAGTTAGCTGAGAGAACTCAAAATATTACTTTTAAGTTCTCATTTCTTAACTATTTCTTTTTTCATAATTTTGCCATGGATGATTTTTCAATCCTTTGGAGAGGAAGATATGACTGGGTCGAGGGGAGAGGGGGGGGGGAATATGACAGACACTGTTAGCTGAGAGCTATTTTCTTTCCTCTCTATTTCACCGTTCTAGGCCACAGCAACGCGTGGCCGGGTACAGCTAGTTATATTATAATGATATATCCAACATCTTCTTCTTCTTCACTTCCTCTTTTACTGCTGTGGGTGTCGAGTGAGATATAAGATTCTGTTTCTAGCTCTTCTGGCTGCCTCGACCATAGGCACATCGTGCTGTTGTAGAGTTTCTCTGATGTTATCCTTCCATCTTGTTCTTCCATCAGTAATGTTATATTATAGTATAATGTCAATAATGTTTCATACATTATAATGATCTATTCCACATCAGTAATGTTACATTATAGTATAATGTCTATATTGTGACTTTATATTACAATATGTCCCGAAGAATGCTTAAAATACTTTGGACAGCTAAAAAGAGCAACTAGGAGGTTTCGAAAGAGGCGGGAGATCGAAGACAACTTATCACAGACATCAGAAGGAGACAGTCATCATTTTTTCGGCCATGTCATGAAAAGAAGGAAAATGGAACCTGCTGTGACCACTGGAAAGATCTGTGGAAGGAGGGATAGAGGAAGACAACGAGAGAAGATTCTTGACAGTCTTGTTGCATGCCATGGAGGTGTGTCGGCACACGAACTGATACATGCTGCAGCAGATCGCAGATTGTGGAGAGGCATGATCGCCCAAGTCAGTGGACAAGGCACCTGATAATGATGATAATGATGATATCTGTGTAATCAAAAGTATCAACAATTAAAAGACAGAGAAGATGGCGCTATAATGGGCACATCCTGAGAAGAACCAGGAAAGAATCACTAAAAAGTCATTCTTCTTCTTAAAGTCCCTGCCGTGTGGCGTTGGTGGTCACCTTTTATCCACAACCTTCTGTCTCGTGTACTTTCAATCAACTCTGACATAGACGACACTCCATGCCATGATGTCAAACTGTCCAGCATCTGTTCTCTCGGTCTCCCTCTGCCTCTCCTTCCCTCCAACTTTCCTGCTGTCACGATAGACTCCAGCTTTCTCCTTAAGGTCACATGACCAAAGAATAAAGACTGTCTCTCTCTGACGTGGGCAATCTGTTCTCTTCGTGAGTCAGTTTTTTTTTCAAGACGTTTTTGATACTCTTTTCATCTGTCCAGGATATTGTTTTCATTTGGCTATAAAAACACATCTTCGCAGTTTCCAAATACATTTTCATTAATTTATCAACTGTCTATGATTCGCTTTCATATATCAAGATGGGATTTATATAACTTTTAAGAATGCACTTTCTCGTCTCAGTTAACTGAGAAAGATGGCATGAAATATTCTTCATTTTGTAAAATGCTGCTTTTGCTTGAGCTATTCGATATTTAACTTCTTTTAATACATCTTCCATCTGATGTTATCAGGATACCCAAGTACTTGAACAAATCAGATTGCTTGAGGTTTGTACCATTTACTTTGATGTTGCATTTTGGAGGGCCAGTTTTCTTCATATTTGCCATTACTTCCGTTTTTCAGCTGTTTAGACTAAGACCCTTGTTTTTCACTTTCCCTTACAATTAAATCCATCATTTTTTAGTGGCTGTGTTTCATTTTCAGCAATCAAAACTCGTAAATTGTCTGCAGATCGCAGGTTTCTAACCAACCAATTTTCATTGGCATGTCAGGAACAGACATTAAACCTGGTAATAAACAAATACAGGAGTGGACTCCCTAAAAGAAACCCTAAGACGAATGTTAATGAGAGAGGCCAAAGCTGCTAAACTATATCCCATTCATGATTGCACAGGATATAATGTAATGTGGGAACAGACCGCGAGCCCTATGTGATATATAATCGTACAGCAGGGAATGATGATGATAATCATCCCATATACAAATTGTGACATTATAATATATAAACTATACTATGTCAGTATTTCCCATTCCTTGACTGCAATCTGTTCGGTGCAGAAATCACAGCCTCGCTGAAATTACAATACTACTTCCCAAACAGTCTTTTAAGGGGGACCGGAGGGGGAGGAAAAGGGGGGGGGGGAGAGAAAAATGAGTTTTCTCGGGATCGTAAACAAGGTGGTCAGAACAATTTTGAGTTAACAAAAAATAACAAGTGTGTGTTGGTTTTTTTTTTTTTTTTTTTTCTTGTGTGCACGGAGTCAGTTTTAT